CTTGGACCAAACCCTGTTTAATTAATGGCTTCAAAGGTGATAAAAACTCGCAAACAACGGTTTCGTACGTGTATCTATGAGCCGGCGTTGTTCCGTCAGATCAAGACTTTCCTTAGAATAGACCTGAGCTACAAATTCCAGATAATAACACAGATGAAGTCACAAAGGTACCCGATAATTTTTTTGTTTCATTTGCAGTTGATATTCCTAATGGTAAATGGTACGATCAACTGCTATGTTACTAATTACTAACAGTGTTGCACGACTCCTACACACGGTACAATTCAAGCGAGTACTTGGGTGTGTGGTCCAAATTTACTATGTTTTAGCTAAATAATTTGTAAGTCCTTCATAGTGACCTCTGGAAATCATACCTAAACAAGTATACTCCTCGGGTCTAGTGGATGACGTATAGAGCTTTTTCACTCACGTGGTCACCACCCATGCAAATGTTTTGAAACAAAGTGAAGTGTTTAAGAAAAGAGTTCAACTCCCAACATGGCCGCCGTTTCACTGTTTAGAAACACTAATTTGACTGCCGTGACGTCATGTGAAAACGCTCTACATTCATTCGCATGGTGCAACCTCCAGGGGGAGGGACTCTCACATAAAAGGAACGGGGTTGCTCGTCGGAAATTTTGAAAATAACTCCTAAGATTTACCAAGATCCTGTTTTGTGGACGTGGCTTGAATTTTTCCTTTCTTTTCTTTTTCTTTTTCTTTTTTTTTTTCCATCTCTAAAAGGTACCAATTCTAAAACAACGCGAGTTAGCTCGTGTCATATCTTTTTTCGGTTCAATACCCTAAAAGGGACCGCAAAAAGTTCCCGCTGTGGACCTTTTGAGGTTGAACATCCTAAGAGCTACCAAAACCACTTTTTTAATTACTTAAAGGTACGACATGCACCCCGTCTTTTATTAGATGGGAGTCCCGGGGTGTAACAATGCAAACTCGCTCATTTTCTCTGTGGGTCTTCTATTGGATCTTCTCTCACATGCAGGGTCAACTCAGATAGGATCAGTGAAATGTATGCGTGCAGAAAAACGTTCAGGAAAGTATCACGCGGACGTGACTAAATGAACAAATGAGTGGTGATGATAAAGCTAAGCCCATTAATGAGTTCCAGATTTGAAAGGAATGTCGTAATAAAAGCGCTGGCGCCGTCTAACTCGATCCTACTCATTTATGATAACTAAGGAAAAATTTTACTGATTATTTCAGTAATTTAATGCTGAGCTCTCCCCAAAGACGACCGCACACGTCCAACAAAGCCAAACTTAACATCAAGGAATGAGAGAAAACAAGATCCAAGTAAGGTAGAGTACAAACAGGGTCTGATTCTTAACTTATATTCTGGGCAAAAGGTTTGGAGCAACTAATTGCCTTTTTAATGACAGCTGTGTTTTCCGTCAGTTAAGCTTTTCTAAGCTTTCACTGTTAGAGTAAAACCACAACAAAGGCAATTCTTCAATCTGGCCGGCTGCAAATGGCGCTGGATTTCTCATATAATATCCGTTGACAGACTACTGAAGTAGGGACTGGCCGGCAAGGTTTTAATGACTGATCGTAACGACTTTCAGACCAAGAATCCCTAAGAACGATGTTGTTTTTTCTTGAAAAACAAATAAGGTCTCACATCGCTCGGTCGATACGGCAAGGTCTTCGGTTTGAGATTTTCCCGTCAAGACCGAACGCTCGGTTATTAATAAGTAGTTGATAACATTACGATAACCAGAAAATCTCCAAACTGGTTACGTGTGTTGAAGAATGGGTATAAACAAAACAGGTATGTGCTTTTGTGCTGTTAGGAATTCAGCAAGGTTTTTTCACGAGGTGTACACGCAGAACGGGTCGGTGCACATAATGCTACCTTGGCATTGTTGAACGTCTTACAGACTGGACCATGATCATAGACAGGTGATGACTATGAAAAGAGTTTTCATTGTCATCAGTTATAAGTTATATCTCAAGTTTTTTAAACATGTTATTTTTTACATTTGTCAACAATTAAAGGTTAACGGCAGTGCATGCAGGATCACGGTTTGCGGTTTTTGGTTTGTACACTGTGATGAGATCTGACGAAATAAAACCGTTCCTTTCCTTCTCTCGTTCGCACCACTGCCACTCGATCACGAAGAAATCAATTACAGAGTTCTTATTTTCCTAGTAGAAATGGCCAACCTAACGTGTTCTACAAACCAGTCGAGGTTCAGCGGGGAATTTAAGTGTAGCCAGAAGAATTGATTTCTAACTGGTACAATTCAAGCGAGTACTTGGGTGTGTGGTCCAAATTTACTATGTTTTAGCTAAATAATTTGTAAGTCCTTCATAGTGACCTCTGGAAATCATACCTAAACAAGTATACTCCTCGGGTCTAGTGGATGACGTATAGAGCTTTTTCACTCACGTGGTCACCACCCATGCAAATGTTTCGAAACAAAGTGAAGTGTTTAAGAAAAGAGTTCAACTCCCAACATGGCCGCCGTTTCACTGTTTAGAAACACCAATTTGACTGCCGTGACGTCATGTGAAAACGTTCTATATTCATTCGCATGGTGCAACCTCCAGGGGGAGGGACTCCCACATAAAAAGAACGGGGTTGCTCGTCGGAAATTTTGAAAATAACTCCTAAGATTTACCAAGATCCTGTTTTGTGGACGTGGCTTGAATTTTTCCGTTCTTTTCTTTTTCTTTTTTTTTCTTTTTTCATCTCTGAAAGGTACCAATTCTAAAACAACGCGAGTTAGCTCGTGTCATATCTTTTTTCGGCTCAATACCCTAAAAGGGACCGCAAAAAGTTCCCGCTGTGGACCTTTTGAGGTTGAACACTCTAATAGGTACCAAAACCACTAATTTTAATCACTTAAAGGTACGCCGTGCACCCCCGTCTTTTTTTAGATGGGAGTCCCGGGGTGTAACAATGCAAACTCGCTCATTTTCTCTGTGGGTCTTCTATTGGATCTTCTCTCACATGCAGGGTCAACTCAGATAGGATCAGTGAAATGTATGCGTGCAGAAAAACGTTCAGGAAAGTATCACGCGGACGTGACTAAATGAACAAATGAGTGGTGATGATAAAGCTAAGCCCATTAATGAGTTCCAGATTTGAAAGGAATGTCGTAATAAAAGCGCTGGCGCCGTCTAACTCGATCCTACTCATTTATGATAACTAAGGAAAAATTTTACTGATTATTTCAGTAATTTAATGCTGAGCTCTCCCCAAAGACGACCGCACACGTCCAACAAAGCCAAACTTAACATCAAGGAATGAGAGAAAACAAGATCCAAGTAAGGTAGAGTACAAACAGGGTCTGATTCTTAACTTATATTCTGGGCAAAAGGTTTGGAGCAACTAATTGCCTTTTTAATGACAGCTGTGTTTTCCGTCAGTTAAGCTTTTCTAAGCTTTCACTGTTAGAGTAAAACCACAACAAAGGCAATTCTTCAATCTGGCCGGCTGCAAATGGCGCTGGATTTCTCATATAATATCCGTTGACAGACTACTGAAGTAGGGACTGGCCGGCAAGGTTTTAATGACTGATCGTAACGACTTTCAGACCAAGAATCCCTAAGAACGATGTTGTTTTTTCTTGAAAAACAAATAAGGTCTCACATCGCTCGGTCGATACGGCAAGGTCTTCGGTTTGAGATTTTCCCGTCAAGACCGAACGCTCGGTTATTAATAAGTAGTTGATAACATTACGATAACCAGAAAATCTCCAAACTGGTTACGTGTGTTGAAGAATGGGTATAAACAAAACAGGTATGTGCTTTTGTGCTGTTAGGAATTCAGCAAGGTTTTTTCACGAGGTGTACACGCAGAACGGGTCGGTGCACATAATGCTACCTTGGCATTGTTGAACGTCTTACAGACTGGACCATGATCATAGACAGGTGATGACTATGAAAAGAGTTTTCATTGTCATCAGTTATAAGTTATATCTCAAGTTTTTTAAACATGTTATTTTTTACATTTGTCAACAATTAAAGGTTAACGGCAGTGCATGCAGGATCACGGTTTGCGGTTTTTGGTTTGTACACTGTGATGAGATCTGACGAAATAAAACCGTTCCTTTCCTTCTCTCGTTCGCACCACTGCCACTCGATCACGAAGAAATCAATTACAGAGTTCTTATTTTCCTAGTAGAAATGGCCAACCTAACGTGTTCTACAAACCAGTCGAGGTTCAGCGGGGAATTTAAGTGTAGCCAGAAGAATTGATTTCTAAC